CTGTAACGGCTCTTTCTGCTGACAGAAGTTTGTTTTTCCACTCACTGCCAACCACTCGTTGAGCCACAGCTTCCTCCACAGAAAGCTTCTTGTTCTTCACCGGGTCGATGACAAAGCCGGTGGCAGCTTGGGCCTCCAGCAGAATCAGAGAGGTTCCGGGAGTCAGGAGATTTTTGCTTTTGGCTTCGTAGATGCTCATTACCTTCTTTGTAGATTCAACTCTGACACCTGCTATACAGTTTGTAGCTCCAAGGTATTTCTGAATTTGTTCCATCTTGCCAGCATTTTCTTCAGTCACTTCTCCTTGTACAATTTGGGTAAAAAGCTCCTTTGAGATAATTTTTGACTCAAATAACTCACTGGCTGAGACCTGCTTTCTTAGTCCTTTGAACTTTCTTTCTTTGGATGACACCTCTGTAACAATGACTGTCAGTATTTCAATGATCTCCTCTATTTTCATGGCTCCAGTTCTGTATTGTTGTATGAGCTGCTCCCTTTTTTGTTCTGATATGTATTCAGAGAGTAGCACTTCCCACACTGTCATATCTTTGTTTTTAAATTTCCCTGCATTCATGGTGATAGTTTTGTTTTTCAGTGCAAGTTCGATTTGTTCATCTGTGTGAAATACATGAGATTCCTCTGTATGCAGTGGTAGGAGAAGCAGCCCAGTTGTAGGATCTTTCTCACATCGATTGATCAGCTGAAGGTAAGAGAGGTTTTCTTTGGTGTTTGGGTCGAAGAATCCCTTTGCCTCGTCAGTGGGGTTCAACAAGAGTTTGTGAACTTCTTCATTCAGATACCCCTTTTTAATAGCAACATGAACCGGTAACCTGTGGCTCTGATTTGGATCAACGATGCCTCCGGTTGCCATTTGTGCCTCAAGAAGCCGAAGGCCATTGTTTCTTTGTATCAGCTGTTCATTCATGGCTTCAAAGAGTGATATTGTTGCGTCTGTGTATGGATCTTTATAGCCAGTGACAGCTCGTTCGGCTAAGAGAAGTTGCTCATGTACATCTGGTCCAATTACTCTCTCTTTTGCAGCCTCATCAACAGCATAGAACTTGTTTTTGACAGGATCGATGACCCATCCTGTTGCAGCCTGTGCTTCCAGCAGCACAAGTGCAATGCCAGGTGTCAACAGATCTTCCTTTTTTGCTTCATATATGCTCATTACTTTCTGGGATGGGTGAACTTTAATTCCAGCAATGCTTCTGGTTCCTTTCAGGTATCCTGTCACAGATTCACCTTTGGTTACTGTTTCTGTGGTGAGTTTTCCATCTTTCACCTGCTTGAATGTTTCTGCATCAATGATATCACAATCCAGTAGTTGCTGTGCAGAGACTTGCTTTCTCAGGCCCATTATCATTTTGGGAGTGTCACTCTCCAGTTTTTCAACCGTGGTCATCACTACTGTGATTATGGTTTGTGTGGTGATCTGCCTTGTTCTGTATTTTTCAATGAAGTCAAGCCGCTGATCATCAGTGAAGTATCGAGAGTGGATCAACTCCCACAAAGAAATAGATTTTCCTGAATAGCATCCTACAGATATGTTCACAGTTGTTTTTTCTAACTCTTGCTTTATCTCTGTGTCAGTGTAGGTTTTTTCCTTTGTTGCTGAAGCCTTTGGTTTGTCATTCAATGTCAGGAGACACAGTCCAGTTTCCTTATCTTTCACACATCTGCCCAACATGTCCATGTATGTCAGATTCTCTTTTGTCTTTGGGTCAAAAAAGCCCTTTGTGTCATCAGTTGGGTCTGTCAGGATTTGATTAAGTTCTGCATCAAAATATCCTTTCCTGTATGCAACCTCAAGGGGTAAGTGAAGGCACTTCAAGGGATCAATGATACCACCTGTTGCAATCTGCGCCTCAAGTAGACGGATGCCATGCTGCCTGACGATAAGATCCTTTGTCAAAGCTTGGAAAAGTGAGATCTTTTGACCTGTGTATGGATCTGTGTAACCAGTGACAGCCCTCTCTGCAGACAGAAGCTTCTCGTACATCTGTGGACCAATGACCTTTTCTCTAAGAGCTTGTTCCACTGTGAGTTTTTTGTTATTCACAGGATCAACAATGAACCCTGTAGCCGCTTGTGCTTCAAGGAGGCAAAGGGCAGTGCCAGGTGTAAGAATGCCAGCTCTTTGTCCCTCGTAGATGCTAAGTTTCTGATTGGAGGGTTGTAGTATCAATCCAGCTACACAGCTTGTCCCTTGTAAGTAAGTTCTCACACTGTCAATTTTCATCACTTCGGTGCTTGTCATCTTTCCATCGACCAAACAGTTGTACGTTTTTTCATCCACAATTCCAAGGTCCAAAAGATCCACAACAGAGACTTCTCCTCTGAGGCCTTCAAAGTTCAGCCCTGCTTGCTGTTTTATCTCCTTGCTCTCAACAATCTCTACAATGGCGACAATTAGTTGCTCAATTGTGATTTTCCTTGACTTGAAGAGTTTGAAAAACTCCTGTCGTTTGTCCTCAGACAGATACTCTGAATTGATAAGATCCCACAGTGTTGTGTGCTTGCCCTTGAATCTGCCATACTTGACAGTAACTGTTGTTGTTTGGAATGTTTCCCTCATGTGATCATCTATGTTGATTTTTTTGCTCTTGCTTTTAAGAGGCAAGAGGCACAGGCCTGTACTGGGATCTGTCACGCATCTCTCCATGAGCTGTAGGTATGTCAGGTTTTCAAGGGTGTTAGGATCAAAGAATCCCTTGGTGTCGTCACTTGGATCATCCAGGATCTGATTCATTTCTTCATTAAAGTACTCCCTCTTATAGGCCACATGGACAGGAATGCGATGGCTGTTTACTGGGTCGATGATTCCGCCGGTGGCGATCTGTGCCTCTAGGAGTCGAATTCCATGATCCTTCAGGATGAGGTCTTTTTGCATTGCTTGGAACAAAGAGATTATTTTGCCATCATATGGATCTTTGTATCCGATGACCGCTCTCTCTGCTGAACGCAACTTTTGACAGACGTCAGGGCCAACAATCTTTGCTTTAACGGCATCATCGACTGAAAATTTTCTGTTTCCAATAGGGTCAATGATGAACCCGGTTGCTGCCTGTGCCTCCAGTAGAATCAGAGCAGTTCCTGGCATCAGCTTTCCTTTCTGCCTGGCCTGGTAGATGGTCATGATTCGAGAATCAGGAAGCAGAATGCCTGCAATGCAGCCCTTCCCCTTTAAGTACATGTTAAGATTTTCATCTTCTATCACTTTTTTCACAGAGGTTTTTCCCTTTTTCAGGTCCTCCAGAACTGTCTCACTGATGATATCTGCCTCCACGAGCTGTTTGGCTGTAACCGTTTCTCTAATACCCTCAAAGACGACTTCAGTTGTTTTCACAGACTTTTCTATCACTTCCAGAACTGTTGTAACGATCACCTTGATACTGAGTTTCCCTTCTCTGTATTTTTGAAAGATCTCTGTCCTCTGGTTTTCATCAAAGTATTCGGACATCAGCAGTTCCCACAGAGAGACTGTCAATCCAATGTACTTTCCAGACATCACCTTGACCTTCTCCTGTAGGAAAGCCTCCTTAGTTTGGTAATCAATGAAGCTGAAATTCCGCCTGTCTGACTTATCAGTGAGAGGGAGGAGGCACAGCCCAGTCGAAGGATCAGTGACGCACCGTTCCATCAACTCAAGATAGGTTAGATTGTCTTCTGTGTTTGGGTCGAAAAACCCCTTTGTGTCATCGCCTGAATCGTTTAGTATGGCGTTCATCTCTTCATTGAAGTAACCTCTCTTGAAGGCCACTTCTGTGGGAAGTCTGTGACTGTTGACTGGGTCTATTATTCCACCTGTAGCAATTTGTGCTTCGAGAAGACGGATCCCGTGTTCCTGAACAATGAGGTCTTTTGACAGTGCTTGAAACAGGGATATTGTTTCACCTGAATATGGGTCTTTGTACCCAGTCACTGCTCGCTCAGCAGAACGCAGCTTGGCATGATATTCTGGGCCAACAAGCTTGTTCTTGACAGCTTCATCCACAGTAAACCTTTTATTTTCCACTGGATCAATCATGAACCCAGTAGCAGCTTGTGCCTCCAGTAGAACCAGTGCTGTTCCAGGCATCAGTATTCTTTGCTTCATGGCTTGATAAATGCTCATTCTCTTGCTGGACGACAGCACGGCAATACCTGCGATGCTGCCTTTGCCTTCCAGGTATTCTTTCACTGTCTCCATCAGCATTACATCCTGTGTTGTCGTCTTCCCCTTCTGTAGATCATCATATGTTTGTTTGTCAATGATCTTTGATTCGAGGAGTTCAGTGGAGGAAATACCTCTTCGCAGACCTTTGAAGGTGATGCAAACAGGAAGTAGCAGAAGGCCTGTGTCCGGCTCCACAGTGCAGTTCTCCACAAGGTGTCGGTAGCTCAGATTTTCTTGTAAGCTTGGATTGTAGAACACTTTGAGTTCTGACATCTGGTCATTGAGCAAACCTTTCTCATAGTAACCTTTCTGAATCGCAGATTCAACCGACAGATTTGTTTTCTCAACAGGATCAAACAGGCCTCGCGTGGCTATCTGTGCCTCTAACAGCCTCAATCCGTAATCTCTTGGGACTAAATCTTTCTGGATCGCTTGGAATACAGATATCATTTGGTTGGTGTAGGGGTCTACGTACCCACTGATGGCTTTCTCTGCTGTGAGGAGTTTCTCTTTCATCTCTGGCCCAACTATTCCCTCTTTAACAGCGTCTGCAATGGGAAGTATTCTGTTGTTTATTGGGTCTACGATGCCTCCTGTGGCGGCTTGCGCTTCAAGCAGCGCCAAGGCTGTTCCTGGCTTAAGCAAACGTTTTTTCATTGCTTGATATATTGTCATCTTTTCCTTTGACTTCTCCAGAAATATGCCAGCCACAGGTCCGTGGACTTCTGTGCAGCCATTTTGCTTGGCCCCCGTGTCATGACCGTTGGAAAGCATCTTGACCTAGAGTGCTGTGTTAACAGAAAAAGTTACTTGAATTAGTTTGAAAATTGTCAGTAATGTTAAGCATACTCTACATCAACAACATCATTTCGTATACTGTTGATATAATAGACAATAACAATATGCAATTACTTATTACTTCTTCTACTAATGTATTGTACTGCAATAATTCACGTTACATAGCTTTGTTTTCTGAGCAATATCTGGAAAAAGAACTTCCTTTAGGATTAATAAAGTTTTATCACATCTTCGTCCCTTATTATGTATTTATCAGTGTTATTTTACACCAGCACTTGCTATAATGTGTCTAAGATCCAGGCGTTGTCCCGGCAAAATACACTCATTTGCTAGTTTATGAAAACTAGTACAATCTAATATTGTGCAACAACTAATCCAGCAGTTTATCATACTTTTGATTCCGACCATTTTGGAAGGTGCGGTTTATGGCCCTACTTAATTTGCGTGGTGTAATACAGTGAGATGCACAACCCAATAAAGTTTAACAACACTGATAACTACAACAGACAGCTGTAAAACAGTTTCAGCAAAAACATGTGTGCACTTTGCATCCCCGTATTTGTACTTGTGAATACACAAAATAACGTGGCAGTCTTCCTTGTATTTTTTTGCGAATTTGTCAAAGTATTTTTCAAATGCAAATTATTTAGACTTTCTCCAAGCAGGACAGCATTTCTTTTTAATGCGTATACATTCTCTTACAGTTGTTTAACATATCTTTGGTTTTCCCTCATAATGTGTTATCTGAATAAGTCTACATATTTGACACTATTGATTATGTTAATTGTGACTAATCTAATTGGAATAAACATTCACTGGCTACTCAGGGGGCTGCAAGGTGGCTCGGTGGTTAGCACCGTTGCCTCGCAGCAAGAAGGTCGCTGGTTCGTGTCCCAGTGAGGACACCCAGTATCTTTCTGTGTGGAATTTGCATGTTCTCCCCGTGCAGCGTGGGTTCTCTCCGGGTTCTCCGGCTTCCTCCCACAGCCCAGAAACATGCTGGGGGTAATTGGTGATTCTAAATTGTCAGTAGGTGTGCAGGGTGTCGGCTGGGATAGACTCCAGCCCCCCATGACCCTAGTGAGGACTAAGCGGTGTACAGATGATGGATGGATAGCTACTCAGGTATTCCTGTGAAATATAATGTAGCCTAGTAAAATGTCTCTGCCATTAATTGTACTTTTGAAAGCTTCTACAAGTTTATTCCTTAAGTTTATTATTGAGGTTGCAGACGGTGGTAACCTTTGTGATTTCTACAAGAACTGAAAATATAGAAGCTTTGTAAAACAAGGAAAAGTATAGAAAAGCTGTTGTACTGGATTGCAATAAACTCCACAGGTGTACCTAATAAAGTGGCCAGTGGATGTTTACAATATTGACGGAACAATACTGAAGGCAAACTGTATAAATGGATGGTATTCAAGGTCAGCCCACTAGGTTTCCGGAAAATACAAAAGATAAATCTTGTTTCATTCAACTTAACTGACTTCCTCAAATATTACCAGTCTCAAGAAATGGCAGTGGTAAAGACTTTCAGTTTCCTTTTCACAGATTGAACTTGAATGACACCCGATGATGGGTTTTACAGTACATGATTAGTCTTATCATGGTCATATCAAACCTTTCAGATGTGATATGACTCCGTGGGCAGCTTCAGATCCTTCCGGTCGTTCCAAAATCCTGAACAAAGACCAAAGGTGTTCGAGCTTTTACGGTGTGAACTTCCGGGCTTTCCAACTCCGTCCCTGTAGAGATAAGACAACAAACTGGGTCTTTATCTTGGCTACGTGTGTCTTTATCAAGGGAAATTTATGATGTGTGATCAAAAAGAGGCAAAAAACAAAACTGTAATCGAGGTTACATTTTTCTTGATAAAAGAATTGAACTGTCTGCTAACTTATGAACATGTTTCTCAAGCATCATGTATTTACTTTGGCATGACACGACGTAATGTGTCGAAACTGGAACAGACAGACGCCCAGTGTTGCAACAACAAGCATGGGAATACTTAAAACAGAAACAATTGCAAGTACAAATGCTATGCAAAAGTAAATATTCCTCACAATCCCTACACTACGCAACCAAACACTAATAAATAATAAAATACACAGATTGTTCTGGTGCAGACAGCAAAGTTTCCAAACAGGATGAATTTTGGATAACCAGTATAACTTGCAGTGGTGTATGCAAAGAAAAAAAAACACAAAACACACAGCAGTAAAAACAAGCTGATAGATATTCAGTGAGGCATAAAATGATCAACTTAAAGCTATTTGAAGGCAAATACTATCACCATATCACCACCAAGGAGTATACTAACACAAATATACAACAACACAAGTACATAAAGCTGAACAGCACGGATGCACTTAGATGTACAGGAACATGAAGCTCTCCCTGGTCTACCTGATCTCACACCCACTCACTTCCTAAAATGCAAAAACACATACACTGAGACCTTTCCTTCTTTATTCTCAAAAGAAAAAAAATCTCGGTCAACATGAAAACACATAAAACAATTGAAGTGCTGTGAAGATTACTAACAAGCGGCAATATAACCATAACCCTAAAACCATGTTGGCCAACCACACCTGAAAGAGAAACTAAAAATGATGCCAGCAGGCTCCCAACAAGGGTGCATAAAGGACATGCAGAATCCTGCGTGGGTGATTGATTGTGATTCATCTGCTCGTAAATACAGTGGAACATGCTGCATTTACTGTAATTTCCGGACTATAAGCCGCTCCTTTTTTTCACACACTGCTAAAACAATGATGCGGCTAATTTATGGATTTTTACGAGTTTTACGAATTCGCCTCGAGACCAAAGTGACGTTGAGAGCGACGACGACAGAGAGACTGAGGAAGTGACGAAGTGATTCTGATTCTGTTCAGCTCCTGAAGACACTGAAGAAGACGACTTTAGTGGTTTTAGTGCAGGAGGAAGATGAAGATAGCGATCAGTGACTTTTACTGGTAGGCTGCTGGAGTTTTTATTTCCTTAACCAGCCGCGTTACAGGCGCTGTTAAGAAAAAAAGCATCTACGTATTTGTGTATGTTACCAGTATGTGTTTAAATAAAAGTTAAAACATCTTTCTGTGTAAATATCTCATGCTACGACGTGGACACCTGCAGCTTAGAGACAAGTGCGGCCTGTATATGTACAAAGATTTTCTTTTTAAAGTTAGTGGGTGCGGCTTATATTCAGGTGTGCTCAATTGTCCAGAAATTACGGTATGTGTAAACAGTTAAAATTCCTGTTAGCATGGTTAGCACCAGCACTATTTCAACCACATTGCACTAAATTGCCACACGTAATAAAAGCTCCCTGTCTACACTGAAGCACTGCAAACAGAGATCTGGATTATCTTCACTCTGGAAGGAGTTTTAAACGAGCTGTTTTCACACAAACTGCACTTGCGTGTAGACAGAAGTCTTGACTTGTACCTAATAATATCAAGTGTAATATAACAACCTGAACGATGCATCAAACACAAGGAAACTGACTTAACACTGTGGATGCTGAGGATGAAGGAACACCGGTGACAGCGTCATCGTTAGGGAAAGCGCTGATTCTGCTAAATATCTGTATTTGTGTGGACGAGACCCAAACAGTTTTAAAAACTAAATGCCTAAATGTGCACACATCCACACAAAGCTCTGTGCCTACATCAACATGCAACTACACATTACGGACAAAGTATTTCAACTTTGCTCAGCCGTAAGCGCAGGTCTGCCAGTAAGTGAAAAGAGGAGCCTTAAAGTAATAAAAGGACCTAACAGTAAAAGTGAACGTGGCAGGTTGTTTAAATCACATGGAGCTTTATAAAGAAGAGAAGAATGTGTTTCATTTAAATGGAAATGTAAAATAAAATTGGACCTAAAGCAGGGACATCTCAAACAGAAACTCCACAGTCTAACTTCATATTCACAATCTGCATCTGTCCATTCACTGCACTGTTAATCAGTAAAGTCAGAAGATATACCACTCATAGTTAACCAACCTTGGACTAATAAAAACAGAAAGTAAAGTGTTTCCTCTCAGGAGAAGCTACTGTGCTGAAAAAACATTTACAAAGATCTCCACAACATTCCAGTTTGAAAACGTCTATTACAGGTGCATTAAAAAATGTGAGGAGTGTATTGTTGCGTAAAAAAACAGTGACTGTTCTGCAGATGTTCAGGTGATGCGTGACTCTATTGTGCTGTACGTGATGTCAGCGTCGCCCGGAGGAGCAAACGTAATCAGTCTCGGGGGAAAAAGGGTGTGGAGAGATCTCAGCCACAACTGAGAGAATAAATCTGGATCTGGGACAAGGCTCTACTGGGAACATGATTATTTCCATGTGTTGTTTATTGAGGAAATTTAGTTGGAAAATGCTGGACTAGGGGTATGTTTAACTAGCTAAGAGACGCTACAGGCCAAGCAACACAAACTACAACCTGTGTGGGTTTGTCCAGCAGCAGCAGCAGTTCTGCGGCGCTTCGGTATCTCAGCCTGACACAGCTGTCTGACTTGGTCAATGTTTGAATGTCTTCAATGATGTTGAACATTTACTTTACATTTATTGCACCATGTGAGTTTGCTTATCAGGCCATGAAGTCAAATGCATTAGCTGCATAAAGCTTCAGAGTTTACCTGCACACAGTGTTCACAGAGCGTCACTGTTTGCAGGACTTACGGGTAAATCCGCCACCGTCAAGTTCAACACACAGGACTGTGTAAATGTACTTAAACACAGTCGGTGTTTAAACACAACAGCAGATGTGTATATAACATGTATAACACCTATTTCTGGATTGTTCTTTGTTGTTAAATAAAAATTGAACACCTGTTTTCGCCCTAAGTAGCAATAAGTGCACTCATGGGCCACTTTGTTAGGTACACACAGGTGTAGTGCTGTTTGTCCAAGCACCAGAGCACACCTAGAACATGTTCATGGTCAGGTTATGGCTCCTGTTGCTTCTCTGGAATGTTTGCATACATCAGTCAACTGTAGCTGACCACATGACCACAAGTCAGACTGACTTTCTGAACAGGTTCATCATCCTGAGAGCGAAACATCAAGCTATCAAACAACAGCACTATGGTTTTAAATGATTTCATTTAGCTCCGCCGAGCAAACCAAGCTGCATTTCGAGCATCCGTTGGGAGAAGAGTTGCAGTGCAGGTCAGGGTTATCTAACAGGCGGCTTTGAAACTGTGACAGAGAAAGCTTTCATTTCCTGCAGGCTTTGTGGACGCAGCACACGTCGTCCGAGTTCAACAGGCCGCTTTGTAAACTTTCTTTTGCAAATGTGTCACCGAGAAATAAAGGAGCGCATGAGGAATGAAACCAGCTGTGCACTGACTTGGTAGAAAAATAACTGAATCTGCTGAAAACTTTCAAGGTGGAATGTTTTCTCGTGTGTTACTTGGTGTGCGAGCTCACCGTTGCATTTGTTCAAACACTTCAATACAATCGAGCGCTGAAAAACATAATTTGGATTTCAGCTGGACAACGTGAACAATGAATACTCTATTTCGTCACTTGGAGAAAAATGTGGGGGAGTGTCCTCTGGTGTGCTCCATGAACGCCACACCTACAGGTACACATGTGCAATCAGCTACAGCAGCTCTGCTTTACATCTGTATGAGGCAGGCAGGCGAGTATTCAGAGCACATGACATAGAAAACCCAACACACACAAGAATATAAGGACAAAAATATGACCTAACACAGTATGGAATAAAGGCAGAGGTGAGAAGTAATGAAGGACAGATACTTTGTTACTGTATTTAAGTAGATTTTGCAGGTATCTGTACTTGAGTATTACTTTTTCTGACGACTTTTTATTTTCACTCCCTACATTTGAACACAAATATCTGGACTTTCTACTCCTTACATTCTCAAAACTGGCTCGTTGCTTGTTTCAACCTCCGCGGATGACGACGTGATGTAAAAGACGTAACAACAAACGTCTTCATCTTTCCCAGCAGTGAAGCTCAACACAGCCCTGCCTGCCTCAGCTGCCTGCCAGAGGCTGTTTAACACTGCAAGACTGATTTTCAGACCCAAAAGTGCCCGTCTTCATTCAGAGAACTTTGAGAACCAGCTTCTGCTGAGGCTTAATGAACGACTTGGGTGGTCTTAAAGAGATGAGTGCTTCCATGTTGATTGTAATGTTTATAATGTTGCTGAAATGGAAACCTGTCCAGGGATTTTTTACTCACTGCGCAGGTTCTTTAAGGATGAAAACAATCCTATTTTGCGTGCCTAAAACTTTCTACGTTTTGCAGAGTCATCAAAAGAGGCATCGTGTATCATCGAAGCTAAAACTTCATTTTTACTTTTGTACTTCAGTAAATTTCTGAACCTGTACTTTTTTACTTTTACTTAATTAAAGGAGTTGAGTCAGTACTTCTACTTTTACACAAGTATCTCTACTTCTACTTAAAGAATGTGAGTGCTTTTGCAATCTCTGAATAAAGGAGCCAGTGCAAATGAGGAAGAGGAAAGATTAGCGTGTGATATACAATTTAGTTAATATAGATATAAAAATATAAAAACGAGGCTGTCATGTCCAGAGAAATGTACTCAGAATGCTTCTGGTGACATTGCTGGAATAAACTCCGTGACATGTTTGTTAGTTAAAGGCAGCGTGAAGACGTGTTTCTGACCTTTTGTAACTCCTATGTACATACATGAGGGCTGCAGCGTTTAACACACACACACACACCTCTGAATACAATGCAGTCCGGTACAATAACTGTGACCTTAGCACCCAAATGTTTAGCTGACTTAACCGCTGTGTGGTCGTTTAAACTGATTATAGGCGTCATAAAAGTCGACCTAAATGCAGCACGGTATTGGATTGCATTACACTTTACAGTAACACTAGTTATAACCCATTATGTGTTTATAATCTATTTATGACTGAAACTTGTGATTACTCTCCCATTGATTAGCTGATTGGTCAATAAAACATTAAAACAACTGTGTAAACTGTCCATCCAGCTTCGGGTTTTGTCTACTTTATGTTATTTGTTGGACTAACTGTCCAAAACTGACAAAATATATGAATTATTCTGATGTGAAATGAGAAAAATTGTCACATTTTAGAAGCAGGAAAGATGAAACTGTTTATCAAATAAGTCAATAAACATCCTACAACTCAACTGATGACTGCAGCTCCGATTCTTAACGAGTCACAACCGATTATTCTTTCAGCCTAAACAGCAAGTCTGATTTAAATGATTATTTTCTGACAGCAACGACTGACGATTTTGCGAAACACTTTTTTAACGCTGCTTTCATTAGAAAGTGAAACTAATTTACTTATTTGCCGCGGTGCAAAAAAAAAAAAGTAAAATTTTCTCACAGACTGTAAAAATGACTTTGACACGTGTTTAATGCACTGTTAAAGTTCACCTACTTGTCTGAATGAGTTATGCGGTTTCTAACTTTGGTGCGCCAAGAATCTGTCTGAATGTCAAGAAGATTTACGGGCTGATAAGGACTCTGCTTTTGTGCCTGAAGCTATAGAACTGTAAATGTGATCTTAACTTTGGGTCCTATACAGTAAGAAATACCTGCTTCTGTGACATATATCGGGTTTTTTTATCATTGCGGTGCGTTCCTGACACCCCCTCAGCAGTAAATCACAAGAATGAATGAGGCCATATAATCGTATTGAGTGTTACATAACAATTTTTGTAGCTGCAACTGGAAAATCTTGGATTGTGATTGAGCAAAGTGCCCAGCGGGTGATGTAGACACTGTGTTCAGACTTGTGGAAAGTCTGTAAAGTGACATACAGGCCTACTTTGGGTAGAGTAGTATTTCTACAAATGCGGTCAGAGGTAATCTGTGAGGAATGTAAGCTTTGCCTTTTTATCAGAGGGTGTTGGCTGACAGTGCAGAATACAGTTATTTCCTCACTTTTACTTTGACAAGACTCTTTCCAAAGTAAGCAAGCTACAGAGTTAAATATGCATTTAGATGGAATTAAATTAGACTTTTAGTCACAGAGAAAGCTTTCACTTTAGAAGCATTTTATCCAGAGAGAAATTAAACAAATGACTTAATTTTTCCCCACCAATCATAAAAACATAAAATGTGCTCTTACCCGAGTGTCTTGGAATGAAACTCAGCGCTGGTCAGTGTTTGATCTCAGCTGGTTGGAGACATCCCAACATCTCAGAGGTGCTCAGTTGTGTCTTGTCAGATATAGAGCAGGTCCAGCTGTTAAGTCCCTCCCCGGCTGAGGACCAGCCTCCCTCTGCTCAGGCTGTGAAGTCGAAGCGACCGGAGAGCTCTCTGCACTGGGTTCAGGATGCCAGGAATTCCTGTAGACTTCCTCAGAGCGAGTTCATTGTACTCTGAAACAATAGCAGCCAGCAAATTTAGTCTTTCTTACTGTACTAAAGGTGAGAGAATCTATTAAGTGAACACTACTAAGTAAAGATAAAGTAAGATGTTGTGACTTACCAAACTCTTCTGTGCCTCAAAGGTTATTCTGAGGTTCTTCAATCTTCTTTGTCTTTTATTGATGCGCCGTGAATGATTTCTCTCTTCACACACTTGAAGTAAAAAGTGATGCAGGCGCTTATCTTCCTTATCTAACCAGTCGAGTTGCGACGAGCAGAGCCGGATACGTTGTGTTTGCAAGGAGCTTTGTCTCTGAATGAGAAATCCCCTCAGGTTTGGCAGGTTTTCAGACGTAACGAGTAGGGAATCGACAGGTCGGAGGTGCTCAGCTTTTCAGTCATTAGCAATTAAAAAAACCAAACTGCATCACAATTCAGACAGATCGCACAGAAAGCAGATGTTATTCGTCGCATAAACCAGATGCAAAGACATTAGTCACGTTGCAGTGACGACACCAACAGTTACTGACTAATGCAACGGTGTGAAAACCAGGTGAACGCAACAACAGGTGATGAGGAAGTCACACTTAATCCTGTGAGAGCACCGTAAAAGGACTTAAGTGGTCACTTAGAAAACATGCTTTTTGTTTATGTATTTTTTTTAGGGTGGACATTTATCCTCTGAGATTATTCATCCAATTAACGCATTTTCTGACTCAGCACCTGTACGACCTGTTTTCTGGGCCGATGTTGTGTTCTCATTAGAAAACGTTCTGTAGTACCAGGTTCTACCATCACTGCTCTCATTAGTTAACACTGCAGTGACCAGAGGAGGCGGTCAGTTAGACGACTGTCAGGTTACGTTGGTGATGATAATCTACGTCACTGGAGCGGTCCATGTCACGTGACCACAATCAGAACGGGCTGAACGCAGAACAACGGCTACTGAGTTCATTTCACGTTAATTTTTGACTATTTATTGATTGACAAGGCTGCCAATTATTAAAAAAAAATCCATCACTTATAAAATATAAGTTTAAAAAAAAGTTTAAGGAAGCTTCACCCCATGACAGAGCTGCAACATTAATCAAATAATCGATTAGCTGTCACACTGTTAAATGAATCAACTATTTTCATAACTGATAAATCAGTGTAAGTAATATTTTAGCTCTTTAATTTGTGTATTTTATCATTTCTTTCCTCCTCTGTGACAGCAAACTGAATATCATGGAGTTGTGCACAAAACAACTGGGCTTTGGAAAACACTGACAACATTCTCCCACATTTCCTTACATTTAAGAGCAAAGACGTGATCAGTTGTTTGAGAAAACAATCGTGAATTGGTGGACTAACAACGAATTTATACATTAAGGTAATCAGTCGTTGCAGGACTACTGACGATAAAACTTTACAAATAAAATAAATGTGTGTCTGGGCTTTGAAAAGAAGCACATTTTTCAACAAGAAAAGTTGATTTTCTAAAAGCGTGACAGAGGATTGTTTGCAGAGTTCTACATTTAAATGAGACTTAACCGGAACCTCTTAATTCTTAATTAATGCCTGTCAAGCCAAGAACAATCTGGCAAATGGATGTTTTAAATGTCAAATGCCAGTCGAGTGTGGACAGGTGCTTTAGTCACTGTGGGTATCACATGGCGTTTTACGAAAACTAAAGCCTGATCTTTGCTGGCAGCCGGAGAGCTTTACTCACCTGTGCCAAAGCTGCTGTTTTTTTTAATTACCTTCCGGCATCATCAAATTCATGATGCAGCCATAAATGCAGGCGTGGTGGCTGAAGGCTTCTGCAGAAAAGGCAATTTGCGAGAAGTGAACTCAGTGGGAATTTTAGACCACAAGTGGGAACACATCGATGCCTGACCTGAAACCACACCAATACTTGAAAGATCACAGGGCAGGGCCCACTTTCACATTCTGCTTGTTGCTTAAAGCAAAACAGAAACAATTTAGTGTGTAAACTAAGTGAAATCAGAGGATGAACTCAGCCTTGCTTCGTCAGAAAGTAGGAGGATGTTTGGGATGAGAACCAACATGCGCATCAAACTTGACATAATGATCAGGCGATGACATATTTGCGGTTTACTTAGAGAAATGTCACAATGCTCAAGTTCTCCATGTGAAATGGTGCATGCAGAAAAGGGACATGTTGACGCATGCAGTGGACTGATAAGAGTTAACTGTCCACTCCAAAGGCTGCACTGTGCAGACTGATGAGGACACCTTGAGCAGTCCTCACATGTACAGGAAACTGTGCTGCATCCCACGTTATCAAATGTATTTGTCTTCTTCCATGTGTTTTCCAATAAGAATACCAACAGCTTTGCACGAAAAGGTTTTTGCATATTTTCACCCTTTTTAAAAATATTTTTGTCCTGCTGTAAAATTCTCATAGTGACGGTTAAGGAATTGCTTTAAAGAAAATACCAAGAAGTTTTCTCTGGAAGTGTATTGTCATGTGATACGTGTTGATAGTTTTATGTTACACATGTTTGTTCAACAAACCTGAAAAAGGCCTGTGGGGATTTGTTTGCTATGTATTTAACTTTTACCATTTTACTTGCCCAACATCCTGCATGCTTCAGCTGAACTGCAAAACACAGATCTGGGCAGGTTTGGAAAAGATTATTTGGTTGTCATCAACTCTGCACAACGTAGGTGCTCATTTCGATGCTATTCGTGGACAAAAGGAACAGAAACACACTGAGGTTATGCTTTGTCCGGACTTCTTTCTGTGTCTGACAAAGCAAAGAATTTCCTGTTTGTGTATTTAGCACTCATGGAGCAGATTTGGTGTTTATTGAGAGTTGTTTTTCTGACTGCTTGATGAACAAATCCTTTTTTTTTTTCTCCTTTTAGCTCTAGTTTTGGTCTCTACCAGCCTTAGTTCATGATGTTCATACAATATATTAACTCTAAAATTAAAGTATTTTCACAATCGTCAACCATCTGGATAAAAAAGTATGTTTTGTTGACTTTGACATAGAAGAAAAATATTAAGCAAGAGTTTTAACTTGTTTCCAGAAGTGTGATTCTTCTTGTTCTCGCTAATTTATTCACCACACAAGAAAACATAAAACGGTTATGAACATTCCTCCAGCAAGGAGCTTAATGTTCTTCACGCAGGTGTTTAGGACACAGACATTCAGCTTATTTTTTTAATTTCCCTAAGGCACTGTACCAAAGGGATCAATAACGTTTGTCTTATCCTATCTTAGCTCTGTGACTCAAATGTAATGGTGACACAAGGAGCACAAACTGGGGCTTGGTTTCCACCAACCACTGAGGAAAAATGCTTCTTTTTTAGCCTCTCCATGTTCACCATCTTAGTCTACTGGAAAGGTTGCAGGCCAAAAAACCAAAACACAGCTAACAGAGACTGAAGCTGGACTCACTACAGTAGGATTGGAAACTTCCTCCCCTTGCACCTTTCCATCCGTTTTGCATATTATCTACAACTTTCCCAAACCAACAAGACAACATTCACACCATTGTACTTCTCTTTCTAGCTCAGTGTTTACATGCAACTCAAACATTTGTGGCATTTTTCATGTGACCAACTACATGTCTCTCTGGAGAGATACTCATGATTATCACAATTTTATCACGTCTGTCTTTCTGAAGAACTATTTCTGATAATATCTAAGCCCTAAAAGCCTCTACCGTGTTGGGTGATGTTTCTCTGTGGGTTTTCCACTACAACTGACCCTTTCACGTTATATTGTTGTCGCAGCATTTAATTCGTTGTTGTTAAAATATGAATCTGAGGTTTCAGTTTAGGCTGCGAACACATCGGTGTGGAATATAAGTACACAGAGATCAGTGAATAGGTGAAACCTGATGTGTATTCAGGAATTTTCTTTCGCTTGGATCGTTGCCACTTTGCATAACACAGAATTACTGAAGGGCTACAAGTAAAAGCTGCGACTAGCCAAGTTGAGGTTCCATTTGGAAACCACACCTATCTGCAGAAAGTGTGCAAGTGTGAAAATACTATGATCAGAAAAACCACTTTTCAAAAGACAGCTTTGATTCTGTTGCCATAAACGTACAAACAGACTTTTTAGTATTGCACACAAAAAAAATCACCAACTAAACACGTCTAGTTTGAGTTCTTTTTGTGGTTCTATTACTTGTAGAAACAAAAACCCAGAGCATTTCATTTCAGTTTGCTCCACGTAACCCTCGTCATATGTCTTTCATTGCCCACTTATTGCACAAAGATTTCTTCCTTTTGCCCTCCACCTTGTTGACGGTCCTGCAGGATATTGCTCAGCCCTCTTCCAGTCTGCCTGAAACCAAAGCACTTAGCCAGGAATGTTTTTTTTAAAATAGCGTTTCCATTGTCCGTTCATGTCAGCGACACACCCGACTCACTTCTCTCCTCAGCCCCCGACTGCCTCGCGTCATTAATATCTGTCCACTTTTCTTTTGGAAGCTTCTAAAAGCAAACTACTGAGGTTGTGTGTTTTTGTTCTGACTGTTGACTCGCCTTACCCTGCGCTCCCTGTGCATGCATACGAGCCATAAACCCTTATTCCTCACACAGACCTCGCTCCTCAGAGATGTGAGGTGATGCAGGTTCAGAAAAATGCCGCCCCGCAACTCTGAAGGCTGAAAGTGATTCACAGAAAGACTACAAAACACACACACAAGTGGGTCTGTTAGCAGATTTGTCAACACCCATTAGCGGCATAACTGCCCCATCGTGACTTAAAAACCCAACCCTAGGCGAAGGCGGACTACAACTTTGACCTTTCAAACACAGTCTTAAGTGTTGAAGAGCAGCCAAAACGTCTTCACAATGTAGCACTGTCCTCAAAGCTGTTTACGCTGAAATCAAACAAAGGCTTTCTACACTCAAACGTGCATGCCTGGACAGCCCATACC